AACGCAAATTGATATTAATGAAAATTTTTCTTTAATTTTGTAACATATTTTTCTAATTTATTTTTTGTAAAATATGTTCGCTTATCTTTTTCATGGTATAATAGTTCAAAAAAAAATTTCATATTGATGCTATTGTTAAATGTATTGTCACGAATGATAAGATCACGAAATAAACATAGTACATACAACATAGTACATGCTATCCCCGGAATTTCTCAGAAATTGTTACACTACCCCTTAGCATGAACAAAAAATAAACCGTAAGTTCTAAGCAGTCAGAAATGTCTTTATTAGTGCAACAACTGTGTATCTATGATATTCTCGATCAATAGGTTACTACTTCTTAAAAAAAAATTGTTTTCTTTTGTCAGTAGTAAAATATCTATTGTAAAAATATGAACACTATCATCAGTACACGGTAGTACTATCATTAAAATCAATAAAGCTTTGCTCTTGAAAAGTCGATATCAACGAAAAAGTTATTCACATCACGTTTTGAATATCCTTTCCTGCGGTAAGGATTGTCAAAATTAAACTGAGACAATGCCTACCATGCAAGAAGTAGCCAAGATGCATCGTATTAACGAATAGATGTTATAAACTTGAAGTGGCCAAACACCGAGGGGCCATGATAACAATTTGAAGGGAGTCATCGCGTATGCGACATCGTTCTTCCATTGTTCACTTGCCATTGAAGATTGAGGTAATAACCGTAACTGATGTCAATAACAAATGATGGGCCCGATAGATCGACATAACGTAGGTATTTCGATTCATTTTTTATTTAATTCGAACTATATACTCGTTTATCAACCTGCCTTCACTTTTTCACGCACGCAATATCAGAAAGTATAGAGAATTGCTTTTACGTTAAATTATCGTTGGACAGGAATTTACATAATCATTTCTTGCAAATTGTTGCAAGCATCAACTTTACTGATTATACCTTTTGTTGCATAGTGAGCACATGTACCACAGAGAGGACATTTACCTCTGCAATTCAATCACTATGTTATTGAACTTCGTGTGTATAAAGTTTTATTTCAAATTCGCAATTTTGATAGTGTATCGATCAAAATTTATTTTTCTTTTTAAAAGAAAAATAAAACGGCAAGTAGATGATAAATTTTTTATCTCTGTTTTGTAAAAATTATTCAGAAAAGTATTATTTATTCAGAAAAGTAAAAAGTAGTAATTAAAATCTTCTTTTTATAGATATATTTATCTTTCAACAAATTCAACAACATTCAATAATTTATTAAACAAGCGTGATTTGCAATACAGAAAAATAAGAAAATGCGAGCTTTAGAATAAAAATTATCATAAAACTATTAAGATTTATAGTGTAAAATTTACACATTCTTACGCAAATAGATAGATTAGATATTACACAAACTATTATAAAATAGCAATTAATGGAATCATTTTAATTTTCAACAATCATTCTTTTTTCCCTTATAGAATTACAATTTTAGATCGAATATTTTTAATTAGCCACAAAGATGCACGTAAAAAGAAAATATCGCTGCTAATATTACTTATGGCTATGTTGATAAATTGAAGAATTTGAAGTATACATGTACTAGCAAACGATTTATATTTCAAATGGACAGATTACCTTGAGAGGAAATCGTATGGCTCTCATGCTTTTTCAAATTTCATGGTTAATGAAATGATGATTAAAGCGGCATTACAGAAGTAGTCCAATTATCAACAGCATATGAGATGTACATCTGAAAAAAAAACAAATCTATCCACGTTTTTATAGCGACACATGAACTTGTCAATGATCTTGTGTTATGGTATATGTTCATTTGCTCGCTACATTGTACAACATCTTTAACAAATCATTGTAATGTAATCATATTAATGTAATCATATTAATCTTTACTCAAAACGCCGCCTAAAATTAATATGAAGTGATTGACTTTTTTAGCCAGAGTTGCACAATTGTAGTAATCAAGGTCCATGTTTAAACAATTATAGTAGCCTGCCAACATAAAATAAATATAGAGAAAAATATAATTAAACAATATTATATTTATTAGAAAATATTTTATTTTATACATATACACTTGCAATTAATTATTTTTTTAATTTTAAAAATATAAGAATACTAAAACTCATTATTAATATATGTTAATTTATATATAAATTGAATTTTTATTATCTTATAAAATTAAAAAAACTTTTTATGTGTTAAATATGTTCAAAAAATACAATATGTATAGCACTGACATATCCAAGTATTACATATTTATGAATGAGATAATTCTTCTTTTAAATAAAAAATTTTGCAATTTACATTATCAGAAACAATTAATTAAGTAATTTCCAAATATAAAGTTTTTCTATTTTTATACGTAATTGCAAGAAACAATGAACAATAATTTTGCAAAGTTTCTATCATAATAGAACGGCCATGTGCCGAGTAGTCATTATTAATTTATACAATGAAAATTCGAGAGACATTTTTACATTTTTACATTTTGCGTGATGACATCTTCGCCTAAAGGGTTACAAAGTTATTGAATATAAGCATCTAACACAGTTTCATACTTTTATTCATTATTAATCATATATTTCGCTATGCACCCCGATGGGATCCCGTCGGATGTTTCTACAACCAAGTATTTGCGCGTTGCAACCCTCATGCTTAGTCGGAAATTATTGTTCATTACGATACGCAAGAACTTAGCTCTAATATGTGCCATCGATGTAATAGCTTGATGATAAAGCAGATGTTGGTTTCTCATAGAATTCTCACTCCATTATCTTGCCGTTGAAAAACTTTATCATGCTCAAGATTGATCCTGTATCATCTTGAAATTTATGTTTAGAAAATTCTGAACATTTAAGAATATATTCACAATAAGATAAAAACGATTATACAAATAAGTTTTACATATTATAAATTCTTTTTTCAATTTTAATATAAGATTTGTTTTAAATAAATTTTTAAATATCAATCAAATTTTTAAATATCAATCAAATTTTTTTTCTATATTGTAAAATATTATTAAAGAAAAATTTTATCTTAATAAAAAGATCTTTTGGATAATTTATATTATTTTTTTAACAATAAAGCCTCACGCATTAGTATAAACTGTAAATGCTTTATAAAACGTAAGTACATATATAAAACGTATATAGATAGAATATTATAGCAGCTGTTTGTTGAAGTATATATATTTTTTTAATATTACATAAAAAGAAATTAATTTGGCACTACAGATAATTGTGCGTTATGATTAACAATTTTATTAAAATGATATTCTATTGAATTTTTTTTACAAACTTCTCTTTTATTATATCTTAGAGCTTTATTAGACTTATAGTTTTTTGGAATTTTGTTATTCGTACGTATTATATTTTATGTTTCTACCATTACTCGAAGTACAGACAGATACGAAACAGAAGCTTTTAGGATACTCATATAAGTTGATAAATTTACCACAATGAAATTTCCAGCTCGTAATGTAACAGGACATTCTGTTCGCATAATAATGAAGATTAAATCTTTCATCAGTTTAGTAGGAAAGTTGTACCAAACGTTTTGATAAATCGAAGGCCCTATTTCTTCCATTTGGGATTTTAAATAATCCCCGATAAAGCTATATAGCGATAATTGTATTAGAAAGGTACCCTGTACCATTATACTTTTTGTGGCCATAACAGTGTCATTGACTTTTATTGCTAGAATAAATTGAAATCCTAAAAAAAATGTTGGTTTAATAAATTTTTAAATAAAGTAATTTCATGTTTTATCAAGCAATAGATGATAAAATATAAATATAAAATATAATTCAGATAATATAATATTTAAAATTTATTTATAAGTCATTAAAGATATTTATCTGAAATATCTCTTTGATATCTTATGATTTGATTTTAGAAATTGTGTAAATTAGAAATATTTACCTGTAATACATAACTGTACGCTGATAATAAATAATTGTATCACTAAAACAAAACTAATTGCATCCGCAAGTTCTCGGGCCATTCTTATGAGGTAACTATGTCTTTTAATTAGTAAATTAAAACGCTCATAAACTTGCGGTCTTGTAACATCAAAATCGATAAACTTGGTTTTTAAAACTTCCATTTGACCACAAACATGCAGTGTAATATTGAGAAACATAGAATCATTACCTTAATAGAAAAGAAAAGTTACACGATGTAATTTTATGTTATCAAGAAATACAATAGTGATCAAATTCTCGCATAGCACAATTCATAGCGGAACAGTAGCGAGAGACCCATGTCTCTCTTAACCTATTATGTAACACAAAAGATAAACGAAAATATTAAATATTACCGTGATTAGTAGTACTTGTTAAAATAAGGGAGATAGCTTCGATGAGACAGAAGATTTTATGCATGCTCGTTGGAGTATTAAAATATTCCAAAGCACATCTCGACGGAACGGTATACTCCAATACGATCTCGTTTGTTACATTTATCTGCTTACTAATATCACCACCAAAGAGAGGGATTAGCGCATATATTATACAACTAAAATAAGAGAAACACAGCATGGAACAGCAAAGAATTCTTCCCGTAGAAGCATGTTTGCGCATGATAGCCCGCTGTTTTGCGTTTTCAATCATCAGATAATCGTTCAGAGCGGAGTCATAATTGTGAGTCAAATTCCTCGCGTAAATACGAAACCATACTGTTTTCAGCATACCAAGTATTCCACAACAAATTAACATGAGAGCGTCTACGTTCTGTTCGGCATCGGTACAACCCATGTAAAGTTCGATGGAAGGCAAGATCACCATTAGGCTCTGTTGATATGTGTAAATTGTATATTTTTTTATACAAAGTTTTGTGTCTAAAAAAATATATGTTCCGATTCTACTTTGAGGTTTTATTAATTTCAACTGCAAATAATAGATTTTAAAATCTAATAGTATGTTTTAATACTATTTTCCTACATAAAGTATTAAAAAATGTTAGAATAAATCACATTGATTTAATAATGCAAAATAATATAATTACATATATAAAGATTTAAATATCATAATGTATATGTTGTGTGTGTGTGTGTGTGTGTGTGTGTGTGTGTGTGTGTGTGTGTGTGTGTGTGTGTGTGTGTGTGTGTGTGTGTGTTTTGTAT